AAACGGAATTAAAAGTTTTGCCTTAAATGCGAGTGTGTTGTGCGGGTGTGTGTGCCCATAAAATTATGCAAAGGAAAAACTTTTTTTATATAAATATTATTTTATGTAAACAAAACAAATAAATATAAAGTGTAAGCATAAACACACACAAGCACATAAATGTGGTATGCAAATATAAATTAGTTAATGCGTTGAGTCTTATGAAGAAAAAAACAAAAATGTAAATGTAATAAAAAAAATCATTTAATTTATGACATAAAATTTGAATTTTAAATTAAGTGCTTAAACCATAAAGAAACATTTCCGTTTCCGTTGAGTCTTATGTATACACGTGCGAACGTTTAAAAGTTTTAACATTATACATACTAATGAAATGTAAACTAAAATTTACTAAAATTTAATTTTGAAAAGAAGAATAAATAAAAATAATTTACAAAAAGAAGTAAATGAAAAATAGTAAATAAATTGCGATTAGTGTAAATAATACGCTGTGTAATAAATAAATGTAAAATGCAATAAAATTTATGTTGAAAAAAAAAATAATATTAGCTGAACGTCTTCCTTTCAACAAACAAAAAGCAAAAGAAATAACAACAAAACAAAAAGTTAAAAAATCTTTAAAACTGCCTGTAAGCATTATTCTCAAATCAACAAAAAAGTATTAAAATTATTATAAAAAAGTTATTAAAGTGCATAAAAAAATTCCTAAAGCAAGCATAAATAAAAAAAAAAACAGAAATTGAAATCAAAAGCTAAATTCTAATAAAAACTCTAAAAGCAACAACAGCAACAATAATAACATAACTGCATAAAACTAACATAAAATGTGCTACATTTAAATTGCAGCGCAGTCAGCATCTACAGAAGCAGCATTTTTACGCTTTACCTCGCTCGGGGTATACTGTCAAGAGTATACATAAGTGCCACTGCTGTTGCTGCTGCGGCCGCCACCAATCCAAGCAGCTTTTTGTTCTTCTTTTACTTTGACAACAAACAACTAAACGCAGAAAAGCATAGATAAGCGCTACTACCTGTGTCAAGTAAAACGACGAAAAGAAAAAAGCAAAAAAGTAAAAAAGAAAAATGCAGCATAAAATAAAAACAAAAGCAAGAAGTGAAAAAATTTAAAGAAAGGGCCAAGGTAGACACAACCTGCCTGTCCGTTAAACGTTAACATGCGCTTGTCGTATCATACATTAAGCTTTAAAAGAATTCTGCACTAACTAACATTGAAAGTCAAGAAGCGATGTTTAAAATCATTAAACAAATTTAATAAATGTTACCAAAAAAAAAAATTTATATATTTAATAACAAAAAATAGCACCAAATGCGCTAAAATACAAACAAATTAATAGAAAACAAAACAAAAAAAAACAAAAACAACTTCAAACATATTCAGACATTTTTGTATTTGTTTCAATAATTATTTTTTTCTGAGCACTGCATTACTAGCAGCAGTGCCTACATAACATTTAAATGTGTGTGTGTACGTGTGTGCGTTTATATGTCGTTACGTTATATCGTTAAACTGACTGGCAACAACATATGTGCATTTGTGTGTTTTATGTTATCGTCACACTTTTATCGACCGTTCTATATACGAGAACGTTGCCGTTGACGTATACGTTACAAACAAAACATAAAGTCAACGTCTTACGTTAACAGCTACGTCGGCAACGCTACTTTATATTTGTAACATAGCTATATTTGTGTGTGCTACGTTTTGTTGTTGTTGATTTAAACTTATGTGTATGTAATTTTTTCTGTTTTTGTTTTTGACAAAGTTTTTTCTACGATAGTGCATTTATTTGACTTTTGCTGTTACTTTTATCAAAACAATTACAACAAAAACAACAACAAAAGGAATATGTAATAGTAATAATAAAAAAAAAACAAACAAAAACCAACGAAAATAAAAGCAACATAAAGGACTCCACTATTTTTCGTCACTACACTCAGCGCTCAACACTGAACATCCTTTGCGTTAATAATAAGCAGAACGAGAATAACAGTAGAAATATTTTAACAGAAAATATTTTGCTATTTTTCTGCGCTTGACTTTCCTGTCCTTTCTGCTTTTGGATTATATTTACTTCAATTCTTCTCATGGTGTTCTTTTTTTCGGCTGTGTCCGTTTTAAGAATAAAAATTTGAAATTTATGGATTAATTTTTTATGCATAATTTCTATTCCTGCTTTTGCAACAGCCGCTGAAATAAAGATTTTTAAGTTGAAATCTTTTTATGCTGTGAACAGAAAAAAAAATTGGATATTTTAAATTATTTCCCAGCGGTAAGTTTTCTTTGGTGTTGTTAACATTTTGTGTGCAGTGCGCTGCTTGCTTGCGTGCGAATGTGTGAATGTGTGTTTGCATGCGTGTGAATATTGTGCTTGCATGTGTGCGAATGTGTGTCTTTATTCTTCTGCTTCTGCTTTTTCTTCTTGTTGCTGTTGCTTGCCTTTTAATAGGCTTAAATATGCCGTCGGTGCATTTCATTGGCAATTTTTTCTTGATGCAGTTTTTTTTAAATAAAAAAAAAATATACATATATAAAAGTGAAATAAAAGTATTTATTTTAAATGACTTCTATTTTTGTGGTTTAGTTAAAAATAAAACCATTTCTTTATTTTTTTTTTTCTCTTTGCAAAGCATAACTGCAAAATGTGTAAAGGATAAGGAAATTGAATTCTTCTGCAGCTGCTGCTTTTCGCTCTTACACAATTTAAAGCACGTGAATTGTGTAATGCGTACACTGTAAATAATTATTGCTAGCAAAATTAAGAAAATATTTAAGAACTTTATGGAAGATTGAAAAAAAGAAATAATTAGTAAATATTGAGTGATATAAAGAGGTACTCTTCGTTTTTTGGCAAATTTTGTTACAAAAATTTTATATATTGAAAATTAATTTTTAAACTGAAATATATTATACTAGATAGAATCACACAATACTGTTTGTAATTTGAGCTGTTAATTTCAATGCAAAATGAACATTTTTAATACTTACGCCAACTACCATCAAGTTGTTATTGTGTACATATTATTTTAATACATAAATAAGCTGGCGTAACTTACCCTAGATATAATTGGAGTAGTATAAACACTAGTCCAAATTAAACTTGTACTGATGTCCAATGTGAACAGCTGTTATTTAGAATTAATGATTACATTTACACATATCTGTCATTGAAGAGAATCAATTGGCCCATTACATTACAATACATAGGACTAAACTATGAAGTTAATGAAATTTATATAGACCATTAAAGAATTATTTCCAAGACTACTGATGATAGGTATTTAGAAATACTCGAAACAGCTGTATGTACAGCCAAAAATTCAATCATTTAATATAATATAAAATGACTTTAAAACCTCTTTATTGGCCATCATTATTTATGACGTGTTACCATTTTTTAGTTAGTTTTCCATCATTCCATCGGTGTAGAATTTCCGTGTTTTATTGGCAAAAAATTTAGCCAAGTGATTTTAAGAGAGTTTCGAAACAAATGATAGTCTCACGTTGGTTTTATGGTGGATACATCAAAATTTACCAAGTTCCGTTACTTTCTTTCGAGTCATCAAAGATCTGTGTTACCTGTCATTGTAATGATAGAATTTTTCTGTTTCACAATTCTGTTTGCTTTTCCTTGATTGAGAAGTTCAAGTCGACGAGTTGTTAGCAGTAAAGGACGAGACGAACCATTGCAAGAGGATAAGTAGCTCGTAATAAATAATGCTTTTCCAGTCCAGACAAACACTCAAGATAATCTTATTTGACGATCATTAAGGCTTTGAACTCGTTTGTAAAGAGTTACCGGCTTTCGACTATATCACTTGTATTGAATTATATCCTATTTAATTCTTTTTAGTCCCACCAAACGGTCAATATCATATTGTTTGCAGTAAATTCAGGCTTTGTAGTCGTTTATGGTGGGTTAACGGTCTTTGATTATGATCGCTTGCATTAGATATCGTCGTATTATCTATTTTTTATCGCCCGAAATGATTTGTTTCAAAAATGGTTCGATTTCATTGCATTTCAGCAACATTTTACTATTGGTAATTTGGTCAATCAGTTTTTTAAACTGACAGTTTTTTAAACTTATATATTTTTTCATCAATTTTTGAAACAACTTGTTTCCTCTTACGGGGACAAGTTGTTTTTAAATACACAAAACTTTGAATAACCATAACTACCCACTGAAAAGAATATTCACTGAGTAGATTATTCAGTAGGTAGAGTTTTCACAATCACAAAAAACTAGTCTGTTGAAAGTCGGTTTATGAAAGTCGGTTTTTTTTATTTATGAAAGCATCTCCGAACACTCAGAACGAATGATCTATTTTGATATTATAAATTTCAATATATATTATACAAATTTTGTTTTTTAAGCTAAATATGTGTTATTCTTATGCCGTTACTATTATTATATACTATTATGAAGTAAATATAATACAAGTCTAAATATCTATAAAGAAGTCTATTAAGTCTTCATAAGTCGAACCTCTTTCATGCAAAATGGTACTACAAGTTATGGAAGTTTGATTGTATATATATTTGTAGGCTCCAATAAATTGAGAAACAATGTTTCCACAAGATCGGTGAATTTTTCTAGACTCATTTATGTCATAATTATAAACAATAGCACTAATGCGATGTATATACAATTGTTTCTAAATTGTTTATAATTTGTCATAGTTCTTCCGATGTACCAGCTTAAAATTTTTTCTAAATACTAAAAATAATTCTTTAACATATTCAGTTTCATCCGTATTTCTAACACTTGATAAGTTCCAATTGATACTTCGATTTCGGCTAAATAATCTTGCCTACTTTTAGGCAGATTTTTTCTCAATTGCCTTCACACTGGAACTGTCAAAACGTGGAAACAGCTGTTCGTAAACAAAGCCATCGAGCAACGCGCGTTTATTAGTTAACAAAAAGAAAATGAAAAAAAAAGTAAAACAAAAAAATTGATTTCGAAAACAAATATAAACAATATTTAACATAAAAAAGTAGAATTATTTTGAAAGAAAACCTTGTCACAAGCGATATCAATTGCAATAAAATGTTCTCGTCCATTTTTTGACAGTGGGGCCACAACCCACAATGGCTGTGTATGATTGAAAAAATTGTGTATAACAATTAGAATGAAAAGTTATTAAATTATTTTTTTTTGTGTTTTGTATTTGCAGTGGCGTCGCAACTTCACTCAGCTGTACGGATTCTAGCACTGGCTCAAGCGAAGATGCATCTGAGCCTGGCTCACCTTATAGTCCGCACTCGAATTTAGGCGACGACCAACAGCAACACGTTCTGCCTACCCACAGCAGCAGCAACAGCATCAGCCATTGTAATAAAAGCAAAATGCCACCACAAACAATACTCGCGCCCAACAGCAGCAGCAACAGCAACAGCAATAACAACACCAGTACGAGCAGCACCAATAGTAGCAACAGCGTTCCAGCACACAGCACAGCAGCCGGTGCAAGCACAACAAATAGTAATAGTAACAACATAAGCAATAATAGTAATAACAACAATAATGCGCTTACCACTGCCAAATTAAAGTCACAAACGACACAGCCAAAAGTCTGTACCACAACCACGCCACGCAACACACTGCCTTCATTGCAATGGAATCGTAGTGCGACTACAGCGCCCACAATAGGTACTGCTGCCAGTGCGCAACTCAAGAAACGCAGTGCCATAAACACAAGCAGTGACGGTGCAACCAAGAAGTCACGTTCGTCTGTTGCTCAAGTGCCCAGTGTACATGACACATCCGCCGTGGTGAGTAACAACGTAAGTGCAGCTGCCGCTTCAAAAAGACTGAAAGCATCTGCTTTAGAAGAATCGCAGACCAAGATAACAGGCTACTTCAAATCACAAATGAAGGCCCAAATACATCAAAATGGTAGCATTAAGAAGCCAGAACCCTTAGCGCCCACAACAAGTACTCCTACCAACGCATTAACTACAAGCACACTCACAATGGCACCAGCCACAACAGCCTCACTGAATAAATACTTCAATATATTGTCACAACTGAAGGAGAATAGCAAAAACAGTGAACAAACTAAAACTAATTCGCTACCCGCAACCACAACCACTACCGTTGCAGCAACGAGTAGTTCAAGCTTTGCAGCAACAACCGCACCTACTGCAATTATCACACCACCTACACTCACCCCCGCTAATACGATGCCAATACCAGCACTAAAGAAAATTGAGCGTAGCAAACCCACGAAAATTGCACAGGTGGCACCAAATCTGCGAAAAACGCCAAGCAATAATTACACTGCATCCTCCACTGGCAAATCACCGGCTAAGAAACACGTTGCCATAGCGCCACGCACACCTGAAATGAAGCAGCAACAGCAGCAGCAACAACTCCAACAACAAACAATTAGTGGCAAAGGTCAGGAGTGTGCGAAGCAAGTAGCGCCCACACCAGCTGCACAAGTGCAAACTGCAAATCAACCCGCGGTGCTACTAACAGCCATACGCCTCGCGGCACAGCAACCTCAACAACCGCAACCACAATTAAAACCTGTCACGTCGCAGAAACTAAACGCGCCTACCACAACAACAGCTACTGCTACGAACAACAGCCCGACGCTGTTCCAACTACCCGTACAGCTACCCAATCTAGTCCAACTACCACAGCTCTTAGCTGCCAACGGGACAAACATTATGCAATTAAACAATGTAGCAGCAGCAGCCGCTGCCGCGAAGACTGCAGCAACAACTGCCGCCGCCACCTCGGCACAAGCAGCACAAGCCGCAGCTGCACAGTATTTTCTCAACGGTACCGTCTTCAAACTACAACAGTTCACCACTGCCACCACAACCACAGCAACCTCAGCTGTTGCAGCCACCAGTGCAGCGACTAATCCCTTTAATCTACTAAGCGCCAGCGACTTGCAAGAGCTGCTACTCAAACAACAACAACAGCAGCAGCAATTGCAGTTGCAACAACAACAACAGAAAGCGGCCGCTGCTGTGGCCACCAACAGCAACAATTTTCAAGAGATTTTCCAACAACAAATTGCAGCAGCCATTGCAGCAAATCAACAACAACAACAGCAATTTCAACAGCTGCAACGATTGGGCGCTGCTGCTAATATACAACAGCAGCCAGTGTTTATGGCTACACCTGCTGGTCTACTACTGAATGCTGCTTCACTACCGGCTATGTTGGCGCAAGCAGCAGCCGCACTCGCTGTCAACAATAGCCAACAGCAACAGAAGTCCTTGGCACTGCAACAGCCCCAACAACTACCTGCTCTGCAGCCTATACAGCCAAATCCATTGCCCGCTTTGAGCTCAATCTTTGCACCCAGCGGACAACAACAGCAACAGCCACAAACGCAGCACGACGTCAACGAACTACAACAGGTAAGCAAACAAATGTTTTTTTTATGTATTTTACTAGATATTATTAACACATGACCTTTTGTTTGAGTAGCAATTCCAACATCAACAGCAACTGGCGCAACTAGCGCTCGCCCAACAGCAATTCATCACTGCCACACAGCCGCCGCCTCTGTCGGCGGTAACCATTAGTAATAGTAACAGCAACACTGCCAACATCTCGAATATAAGCAACTGCGGTACTACTGTTTCGACAGCGGCGCCACAAAGCACACAGACTGCCACAGCTAAACTCGCCATTGTCAAAGCAACGACCAACCAACAGTTTCCGGCTCTAAGCTCCCAGCCACCACCACTCGTTACGATATCAAATGGCAAAGCACGTACACATGCCACAACTCCAGGCAATGCACAAAGCAAGCCTTCCGCGCTGGCGAAACCATACCAAAAACGTGCGCCCAAATTGACAGCACAGGCAAAGGCAATCGCAACAGCCAACACAAACAAAACCAAAATCACAGCCAACGGTAAAATCATTGCCACGCCCACAACTCCACCACCACTTGTGCCGGCTTCATGTGGTGTGGTAGCCAACAAGGAATTGGCTACCATACGTGCAACTACCGTAACAAAACCAAATATTCCTAACGTGCTGCCCACACCGGCGCTTGTTAGCATAGCGAGTCCAACTACGTCCAGTGTGAAACTAACGCAGAGCATAGCACCAGCGACTATTATACCAGCAGCTATAGTACCAGCGACTATTGTACCAGCAATCAAGCCCATGCAGCTACCACAGTTAAGCGCTGCAAAAGCGATTGCCGTTACCACTTCAGCACCAACGTCTACACAAACTGTAACTGCTGTACAAACTGCGACTGCGACCTCTGTGTCCATGCCCGATCCATTTGATATGCTTAAGAACTCACTGAATACGGGTAATCTTCTGAACACTACGGTATGTGCCAACTACTCTAACTCTAATAGCTCTTCGACACTGTCTGCGGTATTTAACTCCGTGACGTGTGACAAAATCAAAGACGAGCCGCTTGATGAAATAACAACGTCAATGACAGCAGTAACAACCCCACTAGAGGACATTGTCAAAAAGGAGAACTTAACGAGTTTTAGTGGACAAATTTTGCCAGCTGACATAAAAGAGGAATTCATGGAGGATAACACTAAAATGTGTGCTAGTCAAAGCAGTAACATGCATCATGAATGCTCCTCGTCCTCTTTCAGTTCAAACTCAAATTTTGTCTCTTCAGCCGCCGATTTATCGCTAGAAGCTTCCATACCACCTCCGTCGTCTGCATCATCTTCCTGTTCTCCTACGCCATCACCTGCGCCGTCACCTTTGGCCGCAGTAAACTCACCCCGCCATTCGCCCACCTTGCAGCAATCATGTGCCGCCACCCTGAACGTTGTTGACACAAATTCGAATTCCTCAAATTCACTCTCCAATTCAACCTCATGCTCGCATGCCTCCAGTCAGGATATGCTAAGTGAATTGGTCACATCATCTTGCATATCGTCAGCTGCTTCTTCTGTTTCGAATATGACAATTACAACATTAAACAATGAATCCAAAGAGGCTGATGAGGACAAACGGATTATAAATATCGATAAACGTGATTTGCCCACACCTGAATCTGGCATCGGTGGCAGCTTGACTAATAGCGAAAGCAGCAGTTCCATTGTCAGCGAAATGATGTAAGTAGCAAAGAACAATTAAATAAATTCCTTTTAAATTTAAAATATCTTCTTACAAATGTAAATTTATCTTCTTTATTTTCTTTAAATAGCTCGAATAAAAATAAAACAAATGAGTGTAATATGGATGACACCATGCCTACCGCAGCAGATAGCACTTGCACTGATACTATGTCACCACCGCCCACACCTTTGACTAGCAACAACAGCAACAGTTTGGCATCTAGTGACAATTCGCTTGCCAGCAATGCGCCCTCACCTGCCTCCCCAACGACCGATGTAAGCGATTCCTGCAACACATCAGTCATAAACTCACCTGTTGCCAATACACCAAATAATACCACACCCTCAACGCCCACCACTATCGATATAAAGCTTGCTGAAGATATTAGCGAAAAATTGCCAAAGTGCGCCATATCACCTATATTATCACAGCCAAAAACTATACGCTTTCCAGCAGAATCAGGTCACCGTTATGGACCGAAAGGTGCTAAACGTCATGATGGTGTCTGCTATTGGGACAAATGCAACAAGAAACATGACAGTAACTCCAAATTACTGGACCATATGCAGACACATCATGTTAATACACAAACGGGTCCATTCTCCTGTCTCTGGGTTGGCTGTAAAGTCTACAATAAAGAATCATGCTCAAGACGTTGGCTGGAACGACATGTACTCTCGCATGGTGGTTCCAAGCAATTCAAGTGCATTGTAGAAGGCTGCGGACTACGTTTTGGCTCACAGGTATGTCTTTGTTCGTATGCTTTTGGCGGTCTGCATTTTATTCCTTTCTAATTTTTAAATTTGCTTTTTATCTTACAGTTGGCACTACAAAAACACGTCAATAATCACTTCACAGCGACTGAAAACAAGGAAAGTACAAATAAACGCACCTCAGATCCACCAGTACCGAAACAATTGCGCAAAAATGGCAAAAAGCTACGATATCGTCGTCAACCATTTTCTGGTGAGTTTCTTTATATAGTTGGAGTAGTAATTGGAATTTAATTAAAGTTAGAAAAGTATATAACAATATATAACACCGATGTATCTGATGTAAATATTCCCCCCCGTGCGGCAACAACTGTTCTAGGTCAATTGAGATTAGGATATTACCACATCCTTAACAAGTACTTCTCACGCATAAACATGTCTATTCCTAAACTGCAGCTCTTTCTCCCACGGCGATGCGCATCTATTATCTTTCCCCGCTGCAAACAAAAACCTTTATTTAATCGACCTTTCTCCGTCTAAACGAATTGATTTCAATTTAAACCCCATCCATCGCCAATCCACACCTTCTCATTAATTCCCCCTTACCCTCAATTACACTAAACAGTTAGTTGTCACTCTTAAATCCGTCAATTCCCAATATGTGCTCTCACTGCAGTTCTACCCCCTATGATCTCACCCATCTGCTTTCATATCCCAATGTACACACCAACCTTTGTGCACTTAATCTTTGGCTTCGTCTTATTGAAGTGGCTAGGTTTTTGCGCCTTGACTTTAATTTAAGTCCAATTCATTCTTGTTCCTAAACAATCTCTTCCCTGCTTACTATTCCTTTACCTAACTCATGGATTGTCCCCGTTGCAATATGTTTATCCTTGATGGCAAAATTAAACACTCTGGATTGTTTCCTTCTCACAGGAGTTTCCTCAGCTTTTACGGTAAATTTTTAAGAGATTGGAAAGTTTATCTAGAAGCCGATATGGAAGTGATATTAACAATTCGGTAATAACTTCAGCTCTGCACTCTCCAATTAGCGTTGATTGAAAAACTTTAATGTACCCTTGTGTGTGGACGCAATGGACACACAGCTACAGCCTTGCAATTAGAGTATATACCTCCTTGATGAGCGAACCTAAAAAACTGTGTATTCATTGAGTAGGCTAAGAGAATAATTATGTCTGCAAATGACGATTAAACTGCTGTCCCTGCCCCGTAAAAGATTTCGTTGAGTGATTTTTTTCTTCTTGCAAAAAAAAATTTCATCTATATTATTTTTAAAACTGAATAATTTGTGGTATTTATTCTGCTTGATAAATTTTTAACTTTTCAATTATCAAATCATTAATTTATTCTTCCTTGTTTTTATCCACAGCACGTATGTTCGATTTCTTCGACGCAGGCATTATGGAAGGTTTACAACATCGTTTACGTCAAATAAGTTCACTTGCCGGTGGTCAGAATTCAATAACGTTCCGAGGACATTGTCTAATGCGACGCACTACATTCAAAGGCGAAGTTGAATGTTTTGTACGTTGGTCTCCACATGAAATGTAAGTCTACATAAAATTTATTTTGTTACTTTTTTTTACATTTATTTACTTTTCTCTATATAGCATCGATGATGAATGGTTGGCAGAAAGTAAAGAACCCTATATTAAAGTTATAAATATAAAACATATGAAAACATCAGAGAAAATAAAAGTGGAGAGTTTACTGAAAGCTGCCTACAAATTACCATATTCACCAAATTTATTCGAAAATGATTTCACATATAGTCAACACATAATAGAAAATAAAATGATTATTGAAGATAATGTCAATGATGGAGACAATGACAACGATAACGACGACGACGATGATGATGATGATGATGGTGAAGATAATGACGACGATGAAGATGACGATGATGATGATGAATCAAATGAAACAACATCCAGCTATGAACAAGTGCTTACAATTGCCAAAATGCAAATGCAACAAAGACAAAAACATCCACGTAAACCACAAAAGAGAAATCGTGACTGTTAAATTAAATGTAATAATAGTAATAATAGCATAGAAATTAATATTAATTATTAAACTGAACTAAATTAAATTAGATATTTTTCCGTTACCAATGGTGACCTTAGTAAAATGTAAACTCAACTCAATGGCAGTAAAAGTAAAAAAAAAAAAAATAAAAGCATAAACAAATCTATTGCATTTCGGTTTGAATTTAAAAATTATATTATTATTATTTTTTAAATTCAAATTTATTAAAATTAATTTCATATGAAATCAAACGAAATTAAAACAAAGAAAAAAGTATTTATTTAATAATAATTTAAAACAATTATTATTAATAATAATAACAACAAAAACCACAAACAACAACTAAAGACAAACAGTAAACAGTGACAAGGTGTAAACATTTATGTAAAATATATATTATATTATATTATATTATATTATATATAATACAATTGTATTATTTGTACAATAAGTAAAAATTATTCAAAAATATTAACTCAATTATTTAATAAAAAATGAAAAATAATTCTAGCATAAATACTGCATATTTTAAATATTTAAGCAAACAAAAAAAAAAAATATTAGTAAAAATGAAAATTGTAAACAAATAGAAAACATATTACAAATAGTGTGTATGTATGTGTGTAGAGTATGTGTTGTAAAACTAAATGCACTCAGTTACTGTTGCTGACTTCATTTAATTGTACTTTGGAGACAATGTAGAGTTACAATGACTTAATTTCGGTGCTTAAGGCTTAGTTTGTAGACTTACCATTTTTAATTTTATTAAATATTAACAGAAGACTGCAGCCTTATACTGCATAAATTATGCGAATATAAAATAGCAAAACTCTACACTGAAGTCTACACTTTTTTTCGTAAAAAAAATATATATATTGTTTATGATAACTTAATGCTTCAACACATCAACTCTACAATTTTTACATAAAAAAAAACAAACTAAATTACATATTAAAAAATAGTTTTATATATGAATTTTATGTTTGTTTTTTTATTTTATTTAATGCTTAAATATTATACAACAATTTCATTTGCGATTTAGTAAAATTTTTTTGTATTCGTGTAGTTTATGATTAAGTTAGTTTTATATAACAGAAATATTGTAAATAGCAGATACATATGTAGTACATAAAATAAAAATATTTTTTTGGTAGATTTTTTAAGCATATAAACAATATATATATATGTATATATATATAGTTTAGCACCTTATCAAGCCCACCCGTTTATGCGAGAAATAGTAAATAGAAATGAACAAATTTTATTTAATTTAATATTTGTAATATGTTTATTTTTAATATGTAAATGTTTTTTTTTTAATTATTAATTGTATATGTGTTTTTAGTTATTAATTTTGTATTGTTTTAATAATTTTTTTTGTGTAAAAATTATTTTAAAAAAATTATTACAGCAACAAGAAGACTTTTATGTTAGCCTAATTTGAAATTATTTCTTTACTCTTGTTTATGTTGAGTGTATTATTTTTAAATGTCCATACATGTCGTCAAAAGCTTTCAATTCTAAGAGTAAATAGATTTTGATAAATATATATATGAATATGTATATTATACATTTATTAGAAATTTCAAACAAAAATTATTACAGTTCAATTTATTTGTTTTAAAAATAAAAAGAACTAAATTTTAATAAACAAAAAAATGTCTACAGCAATTGATGTGAAGTAGCTAAGTAAATTTTTTTTTTCAAAAACAATAAACAACAAAATTGCATTACAAAAAACTTAATAGCAAAAAAATTAATTTAATTGTCCGTTTAATTGTATATAACTACACATTGTTCTATATAAAATTATTCAAAATAGTTTTCTGCCTAATTGTATTAACTTCCATGTTATTATTTTATGCACTTTTATTTCCATTATATGTTGTGTGTTTTTCTTGTTAGTGCATTTTTTATATATATATATAAATTTATATAAAAATACATTATTTTTTTTTAAATTAATTGTTTTGTTTTTATTCTATGGTTTTTTTTTTTAATCATTACAACATAAACGCATATATGTTTCAAGAAGACTTTTAATTTTAAATTTTATATAAATTAAATAACTAATATATTTGGAGACTTTTTCTTTATGAAACAGAAAAACAACTTTTTCAAATAATAATTTTAATATATAAAAAAAATTCTTAGCTTCATTAGTATATTTAGTTAGTTTAATAAAATTCATCTAAAGAAGAGATCTTTTAAGTGAAACCAAGAGGAAAACAACATTTTTTGAACAAACACACAAAACAGAATAAAAACATAATTTTAAGTTCCTCTTTATTTCATTTAAATTTTATTTAGTCAATATTAACTACATATATATAATTATATATATAAATTTAAAAACATATATATTTTTGTTTAAATTTAATATACATATAATTGATTTGTATATAAATTTTTTTTATAAAATTTTTTAAAAATAAAACATTTTTTATAATCGTTTTAAATTTGAGTTTTTCATTTTTTCCACAATTTTAATTTAATAAACTTACACTTACAAAAAAAAACACTATAAGCAAATTAAAACTTGAACGATAACAATAGCTAATTCCACTATTTAAGGATCTATTCAAAATCAAGAGTAAATTATAAAGAAATTTTGCTACATCCCAAAACAGATGTTGTAGTTCCATTATTAGGATATGTTATTCACGTTTAACAGATCAGACTTCTCCAATAGTAATAGGCAATATTTTATTAAAAGTAAAATTTCTAACATAGTATTAATGAACTAAAATAGGTTATAGAGTTGAACGGTTGAACTAAGACTAGTGTCCCAGAATCAATAATCTGCACGTACGATCAAGTGCTACTCACAACCTTCAACAGAGATAATACCAGTAGTTCTATTCAGCTTACGACAACAACATCAAATATCAGTTAACAACTAATTATTCACCTAAAATTGCTTTATTGAATAAGATATCAAATACTATACCAATACTATCGTACCGAATACCAATACTAGGTACATTATATACCTATACCAATATTTGGTACAATATATACCTATACTAAAACTTAGTATCGTATATATATATACCAATACTAGGCACTGTGTACACCTTTACAAATAATAGGTACCGTATATACATCTATAAAGAATAGGTAACGAATATACCTGCACCAATGCTTAGTATCGAGTATATCTATACCAATACTTAGTATCGGGTATACCTATATCAATACCAGGTTTTTCGTACTTATACCAATATTTGGTCTAAAATTTTCAATTGCAGATTAGAAATATTAGCTTATAATATATTGCTCATCTCTAGCACTAAATATTGTTTGAAGATAAATATGATTAGTTTCTCTTAAAGTTCAAATAATTGCCTTTGAAGACATTCTGCTAGAAAGATTAGAAATAATTCCAAGCCCACTGATGGTGGGTATATGGCAATACTCGAAACAGCGTATGGACAGTCAAAAATTCAATTAATTAAAAATAATAAAAATTTTTGTTGTTGCAATTCACTACTGTTCGATAAAAAAATCTCTCCATTTGGTTTCTTTTCTCAAAACGGACGTTTAAAATCAATTTAATGCTGTTACTCTTTAAGGTTTTCAGTTAATATACATAAGTTCTCCTCATATATTCTCTCTAGAAAACAATCAAGTGGTCGCCTTAAAAATACTTAATGTTCATTAAGAATAATAAAAGTTTTGATCAACTCTCTTCTGTAAAAGATAACTATAACGATAAAAAGTTCTTAAATAGTTTCTCAGAAAGTCCTCTCTACTTTGAAGCATTCTATATACTATATAATAATTATATATATAATAATAATAATTCTTATAATAACAATCCGATATAAGAACTTTTTGAAAGTAGATATATTGGTTTGTTGCAAAGTATATTTCTCTAAACATAGATATTTTAAAAGATATTTCGTTGAATGTAGAAAGAAATCTAGATAGAATCTAACTTGTGAACAGCAAATAAACGTGCCAAGAATTACTCTTGCACAGACTTTTCACAGATAATATTAGAATTGATTTCTAGAAAATGTATAACCGCTTTTAAAAATTCCGTATACGGTTTATATTATATATGATATTGGTGTGTATACTGGCATAATATCAGTCTAAACCACACTTACAATTTTGATGAAATTCACTATGACTTTCTGACACTCTGAGCTATACTCTGACATTAAATTTTAAGATAATTATCAGTATTAATATTCAGATGAGATTATCTTAAATTAAGATTTTTATAATATATAGTCAATCTCAAAAAATCGAAGTCTACACTATATGCCAATGAAATTTCTTATTCCTTATAACACCTAAAAGTTCAGTTCAGTATGACTTTTATTATTTCTATATATAATCAAATCAAATTATGATAATTCAATGGTCACAATCGATATGGATCTTTTCAATCATTTTATGAAACCCTATATGATATTATAACAATCACAGTTGTGTTTTTTTTTTAATATTTTTAAATTGTTTTATTTTTAATAGGTTGAATTATTATTAATTCAATTGATTATTGATCGTACTTTCTATTTCACAGATAGGTTCAGAAATATTCAAAGGTGTGTTATCTACAAAAAATATATTGAATTGTATGATGATAAATTCCTCTATATGATAAATAGAGTTTTTAAATATAAAGGATTTGGAAGTAAATTAGATATCTGAATTTGAATAATTTAAAATCATTTAAATCAAAATTTTTATTACTGATTTTATTTAAAAATTATTTATTATAATTAATTTTTAAATTTATTTATTTATATATACGTATCACTTGATATGCTTCACCCTGCTTTCCATACTAACACTATTTTTCTATTATAAAAAAGCTTACTACTCCTCTTTTAACTCCAGTGATAATTTATTTGGTACTAATTTAAATATATATAAATAGAAACTTATATATAAACTTTAATGTATCAATCAAATCATACAATATTTAAATTATATATATATATATATATAGGAGAGGAAAAAAAATTATTACAGTAAAGCTCAATAATATATAATTTATGGATGAAAAATAGAGATAAATTTTTTATCATATATTTTTATTCATAAAATATATATATTTTTATTTATAATTATTCAATCATTAATATATAAACACTAATCACTTTATATATTTATTTATTTACATATGAATTA